AACTAGAGAAGAAAAATACCAGAGAAATGAATGGTACATTGTACCCAAGATTTAGAAATCTAATGACAATGCAGCCATGCCCAGCATGGGGCACTCTAGACTCTCTCCATAGGAGCAGCTCTCAGCCCTACTGAAGGAATCCTGGCTGTGGCTGGCACTCCCAGTTCTGCCAGAGGGCATGGCTGGAGTGCTGGCTGTGAAGACTTTATAAATATATGGGACATAAATGGCATATGATGGAACAAAGACAGAGCTGGTTAAGAGGAAATGGGATGAAAGCAGGTGTCAAAGGTGCTGAAAGGAACATGTAACTCTACTCCAAAGGCTGATGAGCAATCCTGTCCACACACAGAAGGCAGTGTACAATGGGGCTAATTACAGCAATGACAGAGCATGGCACACCATCCACACAGAGCCCAGTTTCTTACAGCATCACCTTGACCCCACACTGGGAAGAACATCTCACCCTATCCTTGACTTGCAATATCTTTAGCTGTTAGCACAGATAATCCAGGATTGTCAAAAGTTCATGTTGGCACAGGGCTCTGTGTTTCCAGCTGGTGCAGGATGGGGTACATGGAGAAGAACACACTAAAGCTTTATCCTTTCCAAGAAAGGTCACCATGGTTGTGGCCATGTGTCACAGGTGGGTGTTATCTCCCAGGCCTGGACTTTGGGCTTAGCAGTGCCAAGACAATGTAAGGGCACCCTTACCAAAACTGAATTCACTAGGAGCTGCTGGTCCATCTGAAAAAAATCACCTGTTTACATGCTTCAGTGTGGATGCAGATCCTGGACTTACTTCAGTATCCAAGTATGACATTTTTGACCTAGCATTTTTTCGATGGTTGCTGGGCAGATCTTTCACTTGGGTAGGTCAGTCTGATTACACTGGCTTTGATATAGAAGTCTACTGATTTATATTTGCAGGCAATATGGTCCTATGCCTTAAAAACTGTCCATATTGTTCTTTATTTCAACATCTGCTCCAAACTCAGAGTGCCCATAGCTGGTGTCTGAGATCCACTAGCCTCCTCCCCAGTGGATTTTGAATAGCACTAGAATGACACGACTTAGTTGCAACCAGACTGCGCCAGTGCTCCATCCATCCAGTGCCTTCCTCAGCACACGAACAGGCTGTGGAGTACCAGCAGAGAGGAAGTTGATGCTGCTTACTGCAATATTGATGGAATACTTAGTATAAACAAGGGGACATGGCCTTCTTGTGAAGCATCTGCCTGTCTCAGGTTAATTGAGCAGGTGTTGAAATCTGTCCTTTCCCTCCTGATGGCATGGTATAAAGTCCCAGATGGTATAACATCCCCTTTTTTAAAACGACCCTCCTTTGTCATAAACAAGACCCTTTCACTTCACTCTGAAAGTGTATAACTATGTGTGTACCCAAGTAGAGGGCTGCTGTGCAATGTACTGGCCCTTACAGGCTATGATAGCAATGTCCTCCCAGCCTTTGCTTTCCCAAATGGGCTTGAGGGGACTAGGCTGCACTTCTGACCTATTTGTTTCCAGGTATATAGGTATTGGTACACGCCATTGTGTTCTGGGGACTCACTGAATTGCAGCAAACTGCACTTAATCTTAACTATTTCCTGTGAAGTTTCCTTTTTCCAAGAGGCATGGAAACAAACAAAGCACATCCCTCCAAGTCTCCTGCTCAAGGAGTTGCCCTGTCTGATCCACAATATTGTACAAGCAATGTCCGCAAGATCTGCATGAGCTGTTTTTCACAAAGATGCCTCCTATTAGCTAGTTCTTGAAGCAAAGGTAGGGTCTCTCTGGGATAAGGCAGCTCATTTGGTAAAATACTGCTGGGAAACTCACCACTAGAAGGGACTCTGGAGATAAGGAATAGAGAACATGTGAACACTGCAGCTTGGGTAATGCTGTGTGGTGGAGCCTGTCTCAGATCAAAAGTATGATTTTAAGGCTTGTTCTGCCAGACAACAAGGAAGAGGGGGAAAGCTGCCAAGAAATAGGGCCCCAAGGGCCAGGCCCACACCAAGGCAAGCGGGCAGCATGCCGCTTCTCAGCATCTCCAACCACAGCGGAGAGATTTTCTCCATCAACATTTCAGCTGGAAATTCAGTGGGGATGGAGGATTCTGGTTTTAGAAGCGCCCGCTCCAGATCTCAGGCGTGGGGCAAGGATTCACCATGCTTTGTTCAGGAAACAATTTCCAGAAAACCCAAGAGCCCAGCCAGGATTTCAAGAGCCAACTTTTCAGGTCTCTGGCAGCAGGATGGCAAGGCTACTCTGGCAGGCTGCAGCTACTCCCTTTGGGAGCTAAGAGAAGGGCTTGCAGAAAGCCCTGTAAAATGAGCACTTTGGTGGAGCTCTTGTGCTCTCCATAGCAGCAGCAGCTCCTCATTTCCCTCTCAGCAGAATGAGCCCTCCAGTGTCCTCATTGCTTCAAAAGGCCTCAGAAATGGAACAGGCCCCAGCAGAGCCAACCCCGCCTTCACTTCCCATCGATCTGGCCAAGACCAGGCCTGAAAACGTTCCCATCTGTTAACAGCCAACCAGAAATAGCTCCCTAGGCTGGAGGAAGGGCAGATTGAATTCCTTGGGCTCTGTGGCTGGATGCCAGCTGGGGCAGCATACTTGCCAAGCTGACTGGCCCTACCCTCTTCACCTGACCTCCAGCTGGCAGTGAGGACTGGAAAAATGGGACCAGCACACGCCTATAGTTACCATGTCACAGGAGGGGCTGACAGTGGTGCGTTTGCAAGTCTCTGGCATCTGTGGGAGACGAGGATACAAGGCTTAGGGTGGGGGCAGGTCACTAGATGGCCCCCAACATGCCAAGGGGTTAATAACCCAATCAGACTCCTCCCTATTGACAAATTGGCTTATGCTCCCCAGAGACGCAAATTGGCTTATGCTCCCCTCCCACCCTTACTGCCTGTTCTCCTGAACCATCCTGACAAGCACCCTCATCCATCCCGTCATGCCCACACCCCTGCCACACTCAGGGGTCCAAGGTGCAACAAGAAATTATTTCACCCTTCTCTACCACCCCCGCCCAGTACGTACCATTCCTCACTCCCTGTGGTACATATACAGTTCATACCCAGGTGTTCCCCAGCCCCCTCCACTGAGATCCCTTGGTTTCCTTCCCCACTTTCAGGCCATTCTCTCCTGCTAAGGATGACTGTTGTAAACAAGTCCTACTTTGTAGGTAATCCTATGAGTGACCCCCCCCCCAAAAGCGCCAAGTCAGTCCTCACACCAAGCCTAACAAGAGCAGGCCTTGCCATGTCAGTGCCAGGACATGCACACCAAAGTTCCCTCTCCCACACTACCAACCTGCCTGGCAGGGAGGGCTCCAAATTCTATGAGTACCAGGAGGCTCTGTGGGCTGGTAGCGACTCAGGCCCAGCAAGCAGGAGTGTTCCTGAGCCAACCGCCCTCACCATAAACAGTGGATTTAGCCTCTTACCTGCCTATAGCTATACAAGAATCCAGAGGCATCAGAATACATCCTGCGCTGCCCCCAGCACTGCCTCTGCCCCAGTGGGAGCAGCTTGGTAGTCTGCTTCTTGAGCCCAAAGCCTATAGAAGTCCATGCAAGTCCTTCCCCAATGTCAGTGAGCTTTGACTCAGGTTTCTACAGGATGTCTCTTGCCTTGCCAAGGAGGCAGGCAGCTCAGGGAGGGAGACAGATGCTCACCTGCTCACCCATGAACAAAGAGTGCCTGGCCTTCCCAGCATGGCAATGCTGCAGGGTGGGGAGGAATCAAGGTGCTGAGGGGAAAACAGGCAGTGGGAAAGAAAGAAAAGAAAACAAGGATTTGAGGCATGAGAGAGAGGAGAGCCAGGGTACAGACAGAGGGGCAGTCTTTAGGGCTAGTACACTTTAATTCTATTAATTCCCCTGTCTCCTTTTGCTTTTGAGGCTGATGCTCACAGGCTTGTAGTGTGACAGGGTGTACCAGTTCACAGGTGTACATACGTGCATTACTATTAACCCAGTCACCTTTCTTGTAGCTCCAGCCCTCCCTCACCAACCCAGACAGCACTGAATTCTAGACAGCATCACACATGAGGGGGGTCCTCCCAGGCTCCCCCAGCCCCTGGTGAAGAAGCTTATTGCTCACAAACTGGTGGGTATTAGGCACCCACATATGCCCCAGTGTCAGCAGATGCTCTGGGTAGAGCCCAGGTCTTAATGTGCCATTTTATGTACCAAACAGCCCCAGAGCAATGTTCCTAGGCCTCTCTTCTGGGCGTGTTTAATTCCTATGAGCAGAAATGCATTGAAAGCAATTGCTTCTGAAACAGTCCTCCCCACCCCACCTCCCCCTGACACTGGCATGCTGACAGGGGCTGGGTTTGAGGAGAGAGGGGTTAAGAAGGGACCACACCTTTGGGTGTCCTGTGTAGCTTCAGACCACCCCAGGCCCATATGGACCAGTTTGAGCCCTTGATACTTGTACTATTGACGTTGCCTTCACTGGGGACTTGCAAATACTTTGAAAACTATCAGGAGACTTCATGGAAGAGCCTGGGGTTCAACACAGTGCTCAGAAGGGAAACTTGGGGTAGTGGACAGATCTGTCTGAGATCCACTTTTAATTGTCCCATCGGAAATGGGGTTCTCTACCTTCCCCCACCCTTTCCCCCTCCCACACCCCCTCTCCTACAAACCTTCTACCTCATCTGTATGCGTCCCACAGCCTGTGCAGTGACCGGGCCCTGCACAGGGACCCTGCTTCACGCCTCCCAGTGCCTCTCCACAGTGCCCAGAACTGTGGCATTCCCAGCTCTGTTCTGTATTGCTTCAAGGCTGCTGCCCTTTTGAGAGAGGAGGGCACCAGTAGGGTAGTTTGTACTAACCCGTTCCTTCCTCAGAAGGGCTGAGGCTGCATGTCAAGACACTCAGAGTCTGAACACCATTTTGGCATTGCCCATTTTCAATGACCCTGAAGTAGCAGTGACTCCTGATGATGGTGTCATAGTGGTGAAAGACCATGGTTTATTACCAGCTTCTCCACCTCCTGCAGGTACTGAGCACACTGTCTGTGTCCGTTGTATTCCGCTAGGTCCATCGCGGTGTAACCATCCTCATCTCGGAGACCTGGGTCTATGCCATGGGAAACCAAATTCCAGCAGCACTGCCAACAAACAGCAAAACACAGCATGATCACAGAGGGTCTTTCATCCCCTTGCTGTAGCTGCCCAACACTTCCCTGTGCATCTACCCAGAACTTCATCTAAAATAAGCAGAAATTGCCACAAGGGGGTGCAAGGAGTTCGATTTCCAACAGGGTTGGAATACAGCCCAAGCAAACCCTACTGAATAGGAATCATGGCCATATATGTAGATACAGAAGCTAGAGCAAGACTGAGGTTCAAGTGGGATAGCCTGACCACGAATCTTGCCAGGATGTTCCTTTTATTTGAACAGCTCCTGGGTGCCCTGGGGAAATGTTCAGGAGGGCCACTGGGAAATGAGTGGGTGAGGCACACAATTCCCCGAACAAGGCGGATCAGGTGTTTGGTGTTGGCTACTTACACTCATCTCCCAAGGTCCTCCCCGCAAGCCTGTAGCATAGGCTGTAATGGTAAGCATAGAACAATGTCACAGCTACAACTCTTTCAGCTTATCATTCAGCTGAGACAGTGGCCACCTTTGTGCAGACCTGGTCAGATGTACATGCCACAGGGTCGTGGCGCTAAGCAGTGAGTGCCCTAGAGCAGCCAGCAGTTCTTAATCTTTTTCTTCCTGAGGCCCCACTCACCTGAGCAGCAGCAATGCAGAGTCTCGCCTGCCCGCCCACAGTGTCATCTGCAAGATGGAGGCTGCGGGACCCTGCCCCTTCCTCGACACTCTCCTCAGCCCCAGCGGGCTGCAGCAGCTCCTCCCGGGGCTGGGTTGGGCCAGAATGGCTCCCTGAAACCTGCTTGCAGCCCCCCAGGGGGCTGCGGACCCCTAGTTGAGAACTGCTGCCCTAGAGAGTTACCATAGCCTCTATTTTTTAAAAGTCAGTTTTCTGCCCTCACAATTGTGGAGAAGAGTCTGAAAACCCCAGCCCTAAAGGCTCAAAAACTGTACAGCAAAATATTTTAAAATTTCCATTTATGGAGCAGGGCTGCATTATTTTAATGCTTGGGGTCAAAAATGCTGCTTCCCACTTTGTGTTGTCTCTCAGCCTCTTTTTAATGTTTTTACATTCTTTTTAATATTTTAACTAAAGCATCACCATGTTCCCAGCTTAATTTACTCAATTTAAACTTCACCTGGCAGATTTACCACCTTCCTCATCTCTGCTGTTGTTCATCCATTCATCCAGGGGACATGACAGGTATCTGATAAAATTGATTTGGGACACTCCAGCTTTGGGGGTCTCAGAAAAGTCCCAGTTTCCATTTCTACATGGAAAACACCCCCATCACCCATGAAAACCTTAAGAATGTTAAGACATGGCAAGGCTTTCAATTAGGACACTGATATCTTATCCCAGTTTGAAAACTATGCATAAGGGGGAAATAAAATATGGGCATTTTTCTCACTCAGATGCTTAGACTATAGTTTTGGCCTCATTCTAACTCCAGTGAATTGATCAAGAGTTAACACATCAGCTCACAAGGCTGCAAGTGCTAACAGAGACGTTCTGCAGAGGTTTGCTCCAATCTGTATCAGGCCTAGTTGACTCTACAAAGACCTGCCAGCATGACTCCAGTTAACATCAGGTGTGGATTTGCTGTAGCAACCCTGCTGGGAGAATTATGCCACCTCTGTTGAGCTGAGGAAGCTCCTGCTGCTAGTGGTAGCCACGCAGTGGCATGCATATCATGTTGATGCACTTCAAGGGCTGTCACAATCCCTTCACCCACATGTGCCCTCCCAGGGTGCACCTTCGGCTCTGGTGTCACAGCTGCAACTCTCAGGACTGGGTGGCAGAAGCAGCCTCCAGAGTTCTGGTGCCTGAAGCAGGGGAGCATAGACAAGGCCTTAGATAATGTGTACTAACTGGCAATCAGTTTCAGTCACAGCAGGACCAGTTCCAGTAGTCAAGGCAGGCCTTTGAGATGCCCTGGTGATCAGGAAGTCCCAGGAAAAAAGGGGTGGGAGAAAAATGCCATAGGATAAGAGAGCCCCAACAGCACCAGAGCCCTTGGCAAGCCCTTCCCTCTGCCTCCTCACACAGCTTACCTCCAGCTGCCCATTCTCAGCTGCATCATGCAGGGGGGTCCCTCCCCAGTGGTCCCTCATTATCACAGCCCCCATCAGGAGGAGCCTGTCCACAATGGCAGCGTGACCTCCCCTGGCTGCAAAGTGCAGGGCAGTGGCTCCCTCCTCATCCTGTGCAGTGAGGTTGATGTCTGTGAAAGCTGCCTGCAGAAGAACAACAGGGGTAGGTTAAGAGCTGGTGCTGGGATGGGCACTTTTCTGGGGACAGACCTATTATATCCTCCACTCCTACAAAGCCTGGTCTCTCCATATCAGAGCAGTGATTCCCTTCCTTGAAGCACAGTGGACTGGCAGCAGTTGGCGGCTGGAGACAAGGCAGACATCTACATCTACACTCTCTGTTCTTCCCTGCAGTAGTGCTGAGGTCCCCAGTGCCAAGACACCCCATTCACCCATGCTGTGTTAGATATCTGTGACCAATAAACCCCATGGAAACATCAAACCGGGGCCTGGAAGGTTGCAGGATGAATACTGAGCTGAGGCACTCCTTACCGCCTTGCTGCCTCCTCTGAATAGTGCCGTGGTGCCATCCAGCTGCCTGAGAGGCCTGTTTCTTAGAATAGTCTCCTAGGGATATTTTGGGCCACGAGTCTCAATACCAAGTAGAGACATTTACATCCCAAATAAGCTGCAGGATCTCAGGCAGAGCAGCCTGGAGCATAGGCTATTAAGATAAATGCAGAACAGCCTTGTGGGTGGCAATTTATTATAACACAGAGGCAGAGTAGCCAGTTGTAAAACATGACAGCATCAACCTCACACAGTCCCCGGATTCCATGAGTTGCTTTTATTAATAAACAGATTCTGAGACTGGTTTTGAGTTTCAAATTTGCTGTTTGGTAACATCAACAGTGGAAAAAGCAGCTATAGAGGACAAGCTATTTTCAGGGTGAATGCTGTTTTCAAGGGAACTGTTAGTTTAAGTTTGCTGAGGTCTTCTTTTAAAGCCAGGGAAAACTCACCACTGCATGGGAGTGTACAATACCACTTTATGCTTATGAGGTCACCTTGCTCCTGGTGAAAAGTGAAACAGCACTGACTTGAGGCTCTGATGGTATCTTGTTTCAGGGACTAAGCTGAGTCAGAAGTCAAACTCAGCTTCTGGCAGCAACAAGTCTTAAGACGTGCATTATTTATATTGTTGTGGCACCTAGGAGCTTCCAGGAAAGCAACTCCCTGCTTTGTGTAAAGCATTCCCCAGGACAAGAGTGGCGACACACACTCAGGATATTGGCTCCAGAAACACCCTGCTTGTGCCCCTGGACAGTCTACCAAAACACTAGACCTGATAAAACTAAGTCTGAAGGGAGGATAAAGTTATCCCCAAAAGCCACTCCTGACCTTCTAAAAGGGAGAAGGGATCTCTTTTCCTGGCATTCAGTTGCACCAGTTAAGGTAAATGCAATCAAACTGCTTTTCCTGGCTCCCTACTGGTAATCTAATACACAGCGCATTCCTTCAGCCCTGTCATGGGAGAATCTCAAAGAGCCCTGTGAGGACAGGGAAGCAGACTGGCTCCATCTGACTCATGGCAAGGCTAATGCATATCTAGGCTAAGAGTTGTATCTCCAAAAATGGCCTACAATCTTGACAAGGTTCATGTGTGGGAGCCTTCAGGAAGGGCTTTTAGAGGTGCTGCCTGGTTCCAGCTTCCCAGCAGTACCCATAGCAGGATTACCAGCCAGACCACCAAGGGGTAGTGGCCACCCCAGGCCGCAGTGTGCAGCACACTCATGCCATCGTGTGCGCTGAGGTGCACGTTGGCCACACAGTCCTTCACCAGGAACTGGGCAATGTGCAGGTGTCCCTCCTGGCAGGCAAGGTACAGGGGCGAGCATCCACTCTGCGTCTGCTTGTTCACACAGCTGCCGGGAAAGAAACAAGGGAGATGTCAGTGCTGGCACCCTCCTCCCCAAGCCTCTGATGAAGGTTCACTCCAGCCCCCCCAATTTGTGGACTGCAGGGACATGCCTCAGCTCCCCATCCTAACTTCTCCTTGTGTAAGGAGGATAATAGCTACCTCTTGGGGTGGTCTGAGAACTGCATACCATGGTAACGTGGACTGGATATGCCAGGTCAGGGATACTGCCTATGGGAGGTCACACTGCTGACCTCTACCAGAGCTTAAGCTGACAGGGGACTCTTGACAAACCCCCATCTGGGGGAGCATGTTGTACTAATAGAAGTTATAATTTAGAGATGGTCCCTAACAAGAGACAGAGGGAGTTGGGACTCGGGAACAGTCAGTTAGGGAGCAGCTAGTTAGTTATTTAAAGACAAAGCGTCTGCAGATGTTCCTACTGCTCCACAATTAACATTTGTTGTTTAATTCTTCACATTCATACTATGACTGTATTTACTAAAGCCAATAATCACTACAAGTGTAACCCCAGCATTGACATGACGTGGTACTCTGTCCCCTCTAGTGGTAGGAACACCTGGGGCTTTACCAGCCACCACAGCCTTCCCTTGGAGATAGGGGTCATATAGCTCAGGCAGTAGAAATTTTGGATCCAGGTTCAGGTCCCGTTGTTCATAACCCATTCAAAGGCATGGTATTACACATGAATAGGGCTTGTGGTAAGCTTGCACAGTACACCGGAGCAGCGGTACTCCTATATCTGTGTGCATGGAGACACTTTAGACTGGGGCAGGCAAAATACGTCCCATGGGCCGAATCTGGCCCACCAGCCCATTCTATCTGGCCCGCGGGGCCCCTAAAAACATTAGAAAATGAATATTCATCTGCTCCTGCCTGCTTGTCAAAGATGACAGGAGACAGGGGCAGTAGGACCCAGGGGGAGCCAACAGGAATCAGCAGCCCAGAAGCAAGGCCCCCAGCCCAGCCCTGCCCCACCCCCACTCCCTCCCACTTGGAAGCTCAGTGCTTAGCAGAGCCTTTTGGCCTGGGCCTCTGTGGCTGCTCCCACCTCCCTGTGCTGGAGAGGGAAACTCAGATAACAGTTGGGGGCATGGAGGCGGGGGAGGACCACAGGGATTGCCCCAGTCCTCAGGCTGGGCCAGGTCGACTCCTGCTGAGTCCCACAGTCCGCCCATGCAGCCAGGAGCCATGTGGTGCTGTAGCAGCCAGCGGCCAACAGAAAAGCGGGAAAATGGCAGCTACAGGTGGAAGGGAGTGGGAGCGAGCAGGCACATGGCAGTGCAGCTGGGTGGGAGTGTGGGGCCAGCACCAGCGGGGCCCAGAGCAGAGCAGCAGGAGCACAGGGTCTGGCACCAGCTGTGCTGGAAGTGGGGCAGGAGTCCTGTGCTCCTGCCACCCTGCTCTGGGCCCCACTGGCACTGGCCCCAGGACACCGGCACTGGCCCCGCATGCCCACTTGCTCCCACTCTGCCTCACCTGTAGATGCCATTTTCCTGCTGTCCTGCTGGCCACTGGCTGCTCCAGCACCATGTGGCTCCCAGCTGCATGGCCGGACTGCTGGAGCACGGGGCTTATGCAGGTACTCTGGGGCCAGAACCAGGAGGGTGTGTGGGGGTATGTGTGTATATGTGTGTGTGTGGGGGGCGGTGTTCATAGGACAAGTCCCACATGCACACCCTACCATAAACATGCACCCACACCCCTCTTACACTGCCATACATGCAGGCCCCCACTCCCACACCTTCACATACCCCAGCCACCCTCCCCCCACACAGCCCCCCACAAAAGTCACACCCACCCACACCCCACATATTCCCACACACACCCACATGCTCCCTTACCACACCCACACTCCCACCTACCCCCACAAACCCTGCCAGACACACCCATGCCCTCCCCCATGCCCCACCTACCCACACAGCCCCCCACAAACCTATACCCACCCCCATGCTCTCCACTCCTGCACAATATACAAGAGTAAGACTTCATTTTAAGCTGCTATGCAATCACCTCTGTGTACACTACACAAACGCATGTAAATCAGGACAAAAATATTTTTTGAAATCAAGTTAATGAATGTTTTAGATGTTCACTTTTTAGAATATAATTAGGTATTTTTCTGGTTCTAAGATGGCAAAACTCCTTTTTAAAAGGTATATTTCTGGGGGCAAGGGGAGGGACTTCTGGTGGAAGAAGCCAGGGGTTAGGGGGCAGGACTTATGATCACAAGATGGTGACCAGGGGGCAGAGTACCTGTCAAGGGGCAAGGCTACCCATGTGGCCCTCATCCACTTGCCAAAACTTGGCAAACTGCCCTCTGCCCAAAATAATTGCCCACCCCTGCTGTAGATGGTGACACAATCAGCTGGCTGCTTCCCCTGACCCCAAAGCACGAGAGTAAGGTGGCAGTGACAAAATTGGGGGGTTGTACATTTGGAGTGCATATGCAGATACACTATGATGGACCAGCAGAGTGGAGTGACAGAGGTGTGAAACACCTACAAGGAAACTGCAAACCAGGAGGGACTTGCCTGACACTGGCGCTTGTTAAGAAACCCCACAGGTTTGCTGGAGCCCTTCTGCTACTCACAGCCCTAGTCCTGGGTCACAGCCTTCCCCCTCTGAGCAGTGCCAAGAGGCAATGCTCAGACAGCCTGCTTGTGGGAAGGAGAAGACGACAGGCAGCCTCTCACTGTCTGTTTGTTCCTCCCCTCTGAGGGACTGGGGAATAAGGACAGCACTGGGAGCACACAGGCTGGTAGGTTCTGGGAGGAAGTACCAGCACCACTGCCCCAGACCATTCTTTTGCATGTTGGCCTAACAATCGGATATACTCAGCTCAGCTGATGCAGACAAAAAGTTAAGCATATGGAGTAAAAGGCCACACTGTTGTTACCATAACACATTCACCAGCTCTCCCAAATTTCAGGCAAGTGTCCTAACCATTGGACCGTCCTTTGCACCAAGTTCACCTACTGCATGCACCCTTTCCCCCTGAAAATCAGAAGCTGGAAATTGGAGTGCACATGTGAAATAAGGAAATACAGCCAAGCTCTGAATACCCTGCTTCTGGGACAGGAGGTGTGTGTGGGGGGCGGGAGGAGGGGAAAGTGGGAGGAAAACTAACCCTGCATGTGCAGGGGACAATACAGTGAGCACACAGCACTCCCCGGCTGCTGGTTGTGGTCAATAGAAGCCCTTCAGGTTCACTGCATTGCCCCCCCGTCCAGCACATACAGGGTCCTTCCCTTTCCTTTGGCAGATGCTCCTGCAACAGGTGTTGTTACTAACTTAGCAGTAGACTCTGCAGAAGCAGAGTCTGTCCTGGCAGCAGCTTTAGGGCATCCCTCTGACAAAGTGAAATGGAGGAGGCTGGTGGGTAGGGGAAGGGAAAGCGGTCCTGCGCATGCTGAAGGGACACCTTACACTCCCCTAACATGGGAGGGCAGGGTGAGGAGCCAAGGCACATGCCTGCAGTCAGAGAAGTCTGTGGCAGAGCTGGGGGCTGAACCCTCATCTCCAAGGCCCCAAGCCGAGTGTCCAAACCAGCAGTTCATTTCCTCTAGAAGAACCAGCTTTAAAGTGTCCCTTTAACTCAATGAAATGGAGCTTGGTGGGGAGGGATGGAAAGTAGCCCGGTAAATGCTGAAATGACACTCTCAAACTGCTTCTGGGTTGGACCCTACTGCTGCACACACTGCTGCTGAAGGAGGAATTGTCCACATCCAGCCAGCAGCCAGAGAGTTAACAGAGCAGCCATAAGTTTTTGCTCTCCCCCCCAAGCTGTGCCCCCAACCTGGATCCAAAATTTCTACTGCCTGAGCTATATGACCCCTATCTCTAAGGCAAGGCTGTGGTGGCTGGTAAAGCCCCAGGTGTTCCTACCACTAGAGGAGACAAAGTACCACATCATGTCAATGCTGGAGTTACACATGTGGTGATTATTGGGTTTAGTAAATACATTCATAAAATGAATGTGAAGAATTAAACAACAAATGTTAATTGTGGAGCAGTAGGACCATCTGCAGACACTTTGTCTTTGTGTCTTGGTGTTTGCTGCTCCCAAGAACAATCATTTCTCCCTCATTCTCAGTTGAGAAAACAAGGCGCATATCTTATCTGGATGTGCGTGGTATATAAGTAAATACAGTAACTCCTTTAAGCCATATTAGAAACCCCAACCAAAAACTTTGCAAGCACAGGGCTATCCTTGCTTTCTGGTAGGTGCCAGCAGGTGGCAGACTGGCACTGCTTTTCTATTCTCTCCCTCCCCTCTCTCCTAGATACCATCTGCATTAAAAATACCACTTTCCATGGGACAGTGATTTCGTTCAGCTGACAGAGGCTGCCAGCTGCAGGACTGTATCCCCTCCTGGTTTGCACACCCCTGCCATTGCATCGCTGCCATACGTCTCTCTGGTCTTCCCCCTCCCCCCCCCCCCCAAAAAAAAATACCTCCAAGTCATCCAACACCAGCCAGTCACCTCACAGATCTAACTTTGACCTGCCCCTCCTTGAACCCTGTTTTGTACAGACTGCCCTCCCCTCCCTAGTGCTTCTCATCTCCATGCTGCCCAAGACGAAGCACAACCAAGAGCTCGGATGCTGATCACTATCTTGAGCAAGGTTCACAGTGGGTGCAGTATGAAACACGAGACCAAGTGCTCCCAAAGGGAATTGCTGCTGGGTGTGAGGAAATGCAGTGGCTTCCCCTAGGCAATCAGAAATATAATCCCTGGAAAAACTAACACAGACATATTGGAAAATCCATTTGACTGATGAGAAACGTGCTGAGAGAATGTAAGTCAGCTGCTTCCTGCCCTTGGAGGTTGCCTCAGACCTGAGGGCATGAACAGACAAAAAACTGCATCTGGTTAAGATGGGGAGGGGCAACCACTCCACAGTAATTGCTTTGTGTCTCTGCTTCTGGCCTATGGTAAGTGAAAGGGAAACCATGGCAATTTAGCTTTGTTTCATTTTGGGGCAGTGCCTCAGTTCAGCTTCAATTTCCTGCACTATAGAAGCAGTCATTAAAAGCTGCTGAGGAGCAGCTGGCTGGCAGTAAGAGAGCTAGCTTTGTATACTTCATTCATCTGTCTGTACCCCAACCTTTTGTACTACTTAGGGTTACTATATTTCCAGTTCTAAAAAAGAGGACACCTGTCGGGGGGACACCTCACTCCCAACTCACAGCCCCCTGGCACTGCCAATGCCCCACACTCATGACCCCTCCCCCCCCCCGCCAAAAAAAAATACCTCCAAGTCATCCAACACCAGCCAGTCACCTCACAGATCTAACTTTGACCTGCCCCTCCTTGAACCCTGTTTTGTACAGACTGCCCTCCCCTCCCTAGTGCTTCTCATCTCCATGCTGCCCAAGACGAAGCACAACCAAGAGCTCGGATGCTGATCACTATCTTGAGCAAGGTTCACAGTGGGTGCAGTATGAAACACGAGACCAAGTGCTCCCAAAGGGAATTGCTGCTGGGTGTGAGGAAATGCAGTGGCTTCCCCTAGGCAATCAGAAATATAATCCCTGGAAAAACTAACACAGACATATTGGAAAATCCATTTGACTGATGAGAAACGTGCTGAGAGAATGTAAGTCAGCTGCTTCCTGCCCTTGGAGGTTGCCTCAGACCTGAGGGCATGAACAGACAAAAAACTGCATCTGGTTAAGATGGGGAGGGGCAACCACTCCACAGTAATTGCTTTGTGTCTCTGCTTCTGGCCTATGGTAAGTGAAAGGGAAACCATGGCAATTTAGCTTTGTTTCATTTTGGGGCAGTGCCTCAGTTCAGCTTCAATTTCCTGCACTATAGAAGCAGTCATTAAAAGCTGCTGAGGAGCAGCTGGCTGGCAGTAAGAGAGCTAGCTTTGTATACTTCATTCATCTGTCTGTACCCCAACCTTTTGTACTACTTAGGGTTACTATATTTCCAGTTCTAAAAAAGAGGACACCTGTCGGGGGGACACCTCACTCCCAACTCACAGCCCCCTGGCACTGCCAATGCCCCACACTCATGACCCACAGTCCCTTGCCCCCCCCGCTGGTGCCACTTACTCCAGAGCCACTGCCCCCGGCACTGCCAGTGCCCCCGCACTCCTGACCCACTGCTCCCACCCCACCAGCCCTACCAGCTCCCCTCACTCCTGGCCTGTAGTCCCCTGCTCCCCCCAGCTGCCCCCATCCCAACCAGGCCGGAGCGCGGCAGTTCCAATTTGTGTGGGCAACGGCAGAGCGAGTCTGGCATGGCACAGGCTGAAGGGAAGAGGGGATGCCTGTGGTACCTTTCACCCTGGGCTGGGGCTCCAGCACCACACCAAGATGGCTTGGCCATGCCCCCAGTGCCCCGAGCAGCTTCTCCTGGGGCCACCCAGCCCACATGAGCACAGGCATTGGCCCAGCCATGGAGGTCCCTGCTGCCTTCAAAGGGCCCCCGTTCACCCCCTTTCCCCACTGGAAGGGCAAGCGCCTCCCCCACCCTGCTGCAACCCCAGCACTCAGACAGCTTCCCCCAGCATTGCTCCTGCCTCCAATAGCCCTCCCCCAGACATTGGTTCCTATTTCATAAAACTGCCTGACGGAGATTCGAGGACTCAAAAAGAGGACATGTCTGAGAAAACCCGGACATACGGTAACCCTAGCTACTTTGCTCTTCCTACTCCAATGGGGAAGGGAGAACTGGACTGGACAAAATAGGCCCCAACTCAAGCCATCTGCTGAGAATTCAACTTTGGCCATGATCTGACCCCCTGCTGCTTTATTTTGTAGTCACAATCTTCTTGTACCAAGCAGTTTGCTTGCCATCTTGGTTTGCCCACAGCTTTACTAACGGAGACTTCATTAAATCATGCCTTGCGCCAGCCTTAGGCATCTCCCAGCTGGACAAAATCCCCATTAAGGGACAGCACCAGCACTCATGCTCCCTACTCCTGACATACCAGCCAACCCCAAGATCTCCTTCATTACTGGATGCTGTGGGAACCCCACATCGCTGACATACCTCTGCGTGCCCTGCCGCATCACAGCAGGACTCCAGGCACCTCGTACCTACTTCACTGCGCCTCTTGTGACAGAGCCCTCTGGGATTCATGCCAACCTTGCCTCAGCAACATTAGGGCAGGTGGGAACTTCTGCTGCTGTCACTCATTTGCCTGCCTCCCTGGCAGCCAGCCTAAACCACCTGCTGCTGCCTCCCTCCACCCCAACCTCAGGGATTGAGGGGGTGAAGACAATGGAGCCCAATGCACTTGGCTGTCCTAGGGCTCTCTACCACTATCCTGGTCTCACCCCCTGGTGGCTGGCACACATCCCTGTATCACTGCATGCATCTACACGTTCATTAATATGCTTTAGGTAATGCTCATTAAAGCTAGTACCTCTGGGAACTTTTACATGTGCTTGGGGGGTGGGGCGGGGGGAGTGGTGCTTTAATTAGAGCAGCTCCAAGAGCCACTCTAATTAAAGTGCTGCTGCATTTCATGTATCAGCATCCCCACACTTAAAAAAGGCAGCAGGGGTGCTTGAACTAAAGCTCATTTGACAAGCTTTAGTTCAAATGCCCCCGCCACCATTTTTAAGCGCAGGGACATTGATATACAAGACATGGGGAGCTGCTGGAATGTAGTAATTGCCATGCTCCAGCAGACTCAATCCAGCAGCCTCTGCACTCTTGCATAGGTGCCCTCCATTGTGAGGTACTAGAAAAATGTGTATTAGCCTACTGTAATGCACATTAGCTAAAGAACATAGTTTTTTGTGATGCCCACTGTTTCCCATCCTGTTCTCCTGGTACTCAGAGGGAAACTTTAGCTCAGGGATTCTCAACTAGGGTGTCTTGAAGTCCTTTTAGAAGTGTCACTGGGTACCAGACAAAGTTAACACTATTAAGTGTGTAAACATGTTTCACAAGATAAACCTAGAGATTTCACATAGGAATTGATAGTGTTAAAAGCATTCTGGCCTGTTGTGGTCTCTCATCTCTTTACAACAAAAGAATTGCTCAAGTATTTTTCTGTAGTAAAAAATCAAGTGAAAACTAAGAGCTGCTGTTTTCCAAGGGGTGGCAGGGGGTGCCTTGGGCTTTTCAAGGGGTGCCTCATTTATAAAGACTGAGAACCACTGCTTTAGGGCTGGGATTGGAACAAGGGGTAATGAAATCAGAACAAGAGGAAGAAGGTTAGACTGGGGAAAAAAAAAATCAGGGGAAGATGACCTGGCATCCTGGCAGCAAGAAGCACTAGGGAGAGGAGCCATTTCCAAAGGAAATAATGAAAGATCCTCAGCGCTGCTCCAACGTATGTGGTGACTGGAGTCTCCAAGGAACGTTGGTGCCCACGGAGGCCTGTCAGAGCACAGCATGATGCAGCCACATGCCACTGCCTCTGATCCAACCAGGAAAGGCCCCTGCCTACAGCGGAGCAGGGTGGGAAAGGAGGGGGCTGTGGAGCCATCTCTGCGGATATTGTCGTTGGTGAATTCCCAGCTGACAGGTAGGCCCATCAGGTAGGGAAGGCAGGAAAGATTCCCTGTGACCACTGAATGACCATGTGCACAGAGCTCTGTCCTGCACCACAACTCCAGGGCTTCTCCATACCTGTGGTCTGCAGCCACCAGCAGCTTCAGGCAGGTCAGGTCCCCTCGGGCTGCGGCGTAATGTGCTGGAACTGCCCCCTCACACGTCTCCATTGCAGTGTCATAGCCTGCCTGGAGCAGCCACTGCACGACCTCGGCATGCCCAAAACGAGCAGCCACGTGCAGTGGAGAGGCCCCCGAGGCATCCCGTTCCTGTGGCAAGAGAGAGAGCAGAACAGCAGGGCTTGTGAGGAGACAATGCCTCAAAGCAGGCTTGATAGAGATGGGGACCCAGCCATACCCACTTTACACACTGAGCAGGTGGGGTGGGAAGAGACCGCACCAGGGGTGCTGAGGCAGCAAGGACCATGGTGAGCTAATGTCCTCTGAGCACAACCCCTCCCCTCCAGCTTCCCCCTGGCAGGACAGCTTGTGCTCAGGGGCATGCCTAACAAGAACAAAGAACACTTTGGGCAGGAAAGTCCTGCAAAATATATCAGCCCTCAAAGAAAGCCAACTTGTACCCTGGGGTGCAAGGGTAAGGAGAAATGCTACCTCTTACAGCTGTCTAGCTCAGGTCTTGATGCCAGAACCAAGGGACACTGAATGCCCTTTCTGTCTCAGAACCACTCAGCAGTGACAGGGAACAATAGGACTGTAGCTGTTCCTCCATGACGCACCAGCCAGCAAACCTGAGGTGGGGAGCCGAGCAATCTGCTGGTGGTGTAGGCCACGAGTAAATTACAGCCTCTGTGGAGCAGGGGTGGGACGGGACAAGGCACTGATCTCTTGACCCGCAATCCCTTCCTGCACAAACTCCTGCAATGGGGCAGCTCCGTGCTCGAGCTGTGGACTGCGACCTCTTGGAGACGGCCTAGCCCAGCAGTTCCAGCAAGAACCCTCTTCAGAGCTTAGCCTCTCCCCGAGCCCAGCACAAGTGCCTCTAAGGGAGTTTGTCTGTGCTGTAGGCAAGGAATACTAGAAACAAAACAGACACTTCTCCAGATATAATCCCTCTACCACTGATCCAGAGAAAAAAACCCAGAGAGGTTATTTGGTTACAATATAGTCATCTGGAGCCCCTTATACCCCTCTTATACCATGAAACTGACAGCTGCCTTCTGGCACATTCACTTAAGCATCTGGTTGCTCACAGCTGCAATTCCTCCTCAGACAGCCATGGCAGGTAAATTACTTGTCTTGTCTCAACCTGTTCTGCTTGCCTCGTGACTAGAAGCCCTGGCCTGTTTTCTCTTCAGTGGTAGCCCATCCATCACATTTGCCAATGAAGTTTCATATGCCCAGCAAATTTTCCTCCATGCCACTCCATACATCAGCTCCTAACACAGTGCCAGGAGCAGTGTAGTTTATACCACCAACATATTCTTAATTGTGGCAGTATCTAGGACAACCATTCCAATTCCTGCCTTGGGTTTCTGGTTTAAGGATGTTACCCCATTATCAATATACCAACAAGAAAATATGCTTCCCTAGAAACATCTGCACTGGACTCAGAGAGGGACTTGTGTAGATCTGAATCTGAACCTCTGCTTTTCCAAACACAGGGTGGGATGGACTAGGGCATGGCTGTCCAACTGGCAGTCCATGTACTGCATGTGGCCCAGGAGGGGTTAAGTTGCAGCCTTCCCACCCTGCTTCCCCCATGGCTCTGGCTGCAGAAACAACTGGGAGCTCCAGGTTCCCTCTCCCTCTGGCTTCCCCTTCCCTGCCCCAAGGAGGAGGGGCAGGGCAGCATGGTGCAGTGTAGCTCACAGTGCTGGGGAACCCACAACCCATAGTCCCTCAGAGGCGTGATGCAGCAGGGAACCTGCAGCAGTGGGCTGGGGCAAAGTGGGGCAGTGCAGCAGGGAGAGCACTAGGTATGCAGTGCAGTGGAGGCGGGGCATGCTCTGTGGACCTGGGGGCTCATGGCCCCACACTGGAAGGGCCCTCACTAGAGCAGCCCTAAGGGCATGTGGTCCCTGGTCACTCAGAAGTTGGACTGCCCTGACCTAAGGTATACATAATACAGGTGCACGCGCAGGGACAAGCCTGAATTGGGAGACTGGCTCCGAATTCTAGCTTGCCCAAGGTCCAGGATAGGAGATGGTCACATATGAAGTCATGAATAGAGAGTGATCAAACCAGAACAGCAGAGAGAATAGAAGAGGGAAACCCCATTTTGGGTTGATGCGCTGCCAGATAGGCAGTGGAGAGGTGACAGAGTGCAATTATTTAAATAAACCACCAGCTAGCAAGGAATAAAGAACCAGAGTCTTCATGTAGTTTTAAGTCTCAGGAAAGTGAGAAGCAATAAGCCATGAGCACCCGTGGCTGCTATCTGGTGGCTTAAGAGAATGCAATTGTTTTGTACAAATAAAAATAACTCCCACCTCTTTGACCCTTCTCCCCATGCTGGCTGGAAACAAGCCAAGCAGCAGATACTGCTATTCCAATGAGATGCAATCCCAGCAAAGCCAGCTCACAGTGAAGGACTGTAGCAAGGCGCTGATCCACCCCAGATTAAATCCGTGAGCAGCACCTCAGGTAAAGAACTGCCCGCCCTGCTGCTTGAGGATGCACTAGGGCATCTTCTGGAAACACACCTCTTTCTTGCTCCCCTGCCCTCTCCCCCTCTTCTGAATCCCTGGCCATCCCAGCCTGTTACCAACCTGTAGGTTGTAGCCCCCGTCCCTGATCAACCACTGCAGCTCTGCCAAGTTCCCCATGGCTGCCGCATCATGGGCTGGCGTTGCCCCGTTGTTGGCTCTCTGGTTCCCTGGAAGCTTGGCTTGTAGCACCAGGAACTTGAGGCACTCCAGACTGCCAGCTCGGGAAGCATGATGGACCAGACCTGCTCCTGAGGAGTCAGCAATATCCCACCCCAGTGCACCGTTTGCATGGAGCTGCTCCAAGGCAGCCAAGTCTCCGTGCTTGGCAGCTAAAATAGCCCTTTGATCTGCCATCCCTGGCACCCCTGCCTGCATGGGCACTGATGCCTCCTTTCCAGCAAGAAGTTCCTTTTTCTCTTTCTGCCCCTCAGAGCAAAGCAGCCCTAGTCCACCTCCGTTACTTGAGAAGGTACCACAGGGGCATATGGAAAGCGGAGGGGAGTAGGACAGGAGGCGTGGCTGACAAATGCAGGGAAACAGAGCCCTCCAAGGAGCAACCCGAGTTAAAACAAACAAGCTCTGCTGGAACAGCCTCAGGCTCAAATCGCTAACGGAAATTGCTACTTAAAAGCTTTTCCTAGCTCTGCTCCCAATATTTTTTGCAATCAACCCCAAATTATGTTACATGCCAAGGTGAACAAACCTTGTGAATAGAGGCAAAGCAAACCCCTCAATCCTAATTCCTTGGCAGAACGGCTGAGGAGGCTTAAATCTTGCAAATCCTTCTAAGAAGTTGTAACATTCTTGGAAGCCGGCTTCTCTACTGAAAAGGTGTTTTCTTATCCAGTTGTTCTAGACCTGCTTCAAAATGCTTTTGGTTTTCAAGTAGCTCTGTGCTGACCACCTGCTGCACATTTCACACCAGAAAGGCAGCATGTTTTGTTTCATGCAACTCATATAGCCAGAGGGCCAGATTTTAAATGGATGTTAATTGGTAGAGCTTTATTCTACTGTGAACCAAAAACCACCCCCCTCTCTCTCTCATCAGAAAAAGGCAATCAAAACTACCCACAAATGTCACTCCTTATGCAAAGGGCATTTCATTTTATCTTTCATTTCCCAGTTTTCTCAGGGTCAAAACTGCTGTCTCCTCTTCCATGAACCTGATGTGGATGGAATTTGATTTCAGTGGCAGTAGACTAGGCTGCCATAAGCATTATGGCACTGCCACTAGGATGCAATACAGCCCACACCTTGGGATCAAGGATGGCTTTTAAACATGTTAGTTTCACAAATTGTCTACTATTTCTACCCAAATATAGAAATTAAAGGAAAGAAACAGGACTGATAGGTGCTTTTTAGCCACAGATTTTAGCTTGAGAATTACAAGGTTCATAGCCATTAAAGGAATCGGGGTCTGGAACGACTGTCTCATGGACACAGCAGGGGGCAGATCTAACTGCTTTTGAGATGGAGTTTGGTAAGTATATGAAAAGGACTGTATGATATAGTGCCTACAAGTGCAGATGACTAGACTCAGTGACCCAGGAGGTCCCTTCCAGTCCTAGGCCCTTAATACGTCAGCACCAGGAGAGTCCTTGCGAGGCTACATTCAAGGTGAGCTTTGTAAGGAGGACAAGTGTCCTAAGGGGTTAAGAGAGAGTCAAGGAGGGAATCTCAGACTTGCACACAACTGCACCCTAGAATGAATACACTGTTACTGGCTCTCAGTAACTCCAGAAGGAAAGTTATAAGGCTCAGATTGTATCACTGCCCATCAATGTGTTGTGAGCATATGGAACAGGACACCTTGATGTAATCTTATCCCTGTTATCATCATCAGTGGAACGGACTCTTCAAGCTGAAATGTGCAAATATAAAGGATAAACATGATGAAAGTATGAAGATCTGTCATTTGTGAAGAGACATGGGTGCCCTGGGTATATTGTCAAAGGACATAGAACTTTCTCTTCCAGCCCCTTCACAACAGTGCAGACCAGTGTAAGGATCCACAAACTCCTGGCCAGAAAACAAAAGGATTCCATTTTATGAAAGGCTTCGACCATCTGTTGTGCTCTGCACAGGAATGGGAATGAGACCTTTAGGGGTGTACTTGGTAGCCGTGTTGGTTTGAAACAAAAAGGCATACAAAAAACTAGGGCTCTCGGTTCCAAAATGAGACCTTTAGATATTTTTCACAAGAGAGAGATCTGTCCCAGAGTAGACAACAGACCATTCACCCAGGATGTGGGAAACAACTCCAATCCAAGCCCCTGATCTCAATCACTGAGTTACTGGTACCTCTTCCCCTCCAATTTAGGGTGTGCCAAGATGTTATCAGCAAAGTTTACTTGAAACCTATGGGCGTTTATACACATGCTCTGGGAGTGTGTGGGGGCAAGGTGTTAATTAGAGCTGATCTAATTAAAGCACCTGGAGCATCTTGTGTATCAATGTCCCTGCACTTAAAAAGGGGGGGGGCTTTAACTAAAAGCAAGGCCCCAGTAGACTCCATTAATCGAGTCTGTTCCAATGCGCTGTAATTACAGCATGTCACAGCAGCCTCTCTGCCTGGGTATAGGCACACTATGTTTCTGTGAAAGTCTTCTATTTCAATGCCCTGGCATTCATTGATGGAAAAAATGCTGTGCCAAAGAATTCCCCCATATAGAATAAAAACAGCCTCAGGAAAATACTTTTAATTGAAACCACTCTGATTAACAGCAGTCACTTTTGCACGTGCTGGGACTATATAAATATTAGATGTTCCTCAGCTCATCACTGCATTTTGCCAAGCAGCTACTTCATAATGCATTATTGCTTTATCACTATTCCAGTGTTTAGAGCTACTAGCTTGATCTAGGTACCTGTTTCTATATAGAATGTGGAGACAATGTCTTCCCTGTTAAGGAATTCACAGCTAGATATAGCCGTGTTGGTTTGAAACAAAAAGGCATACAAAAAACTAGGGCTCTCGGTTCCAAAATGAGACCTTTAGATATTTTTCACAAGAGAGAGATCTGTCCCAGAGTAGACAACAGACCATTCACCCAGGATGTGGGAAACAACTCCAATCCAAGCCCCTGATCTCAATCACTGAGTTACTGGTACCTCTTCCCCTCCAATTTAGGGTGTGCCAAGATGTTATCAGCAAAGTTTACTTGAAACCTATGGGCGTTTATACACATGCTCTGGGAGTGTGTGGGGGCAAGGTGTTAATTAGAGCTGATCTAATTAAAGCACCTGGAGCATCTTGTGTATCAATGTCCCTGCACTTAAAAAGGGGGGGGGCTTTAACTAAAAGCAAGGCCCCAGTAGACTCCATTAATCGAGTCTGTTCCAATGCGCTGTAATTACAGCATGTCACAGCAGCCTCTCTGCCTGGGTATAGGCACACTATGTTTCTGTGAAAGTCTTCTATTTCAATGCCCTGGCATTCATTGATGGAAAAAATGCTGTGCCAAAGAATTCCCCCATATAGAATAAAAACAGCCTCAGGAAAATACTTTTAATTGAAACCACTCTGATTAACAGCAGTCACTTTTGCACGTGCTGGGACTATATAAATATTAGATGTTCCTCAGCTCATCACTGCATTTTGCCAAGCAGCTACTTCATAATGCATTATTGCTTTATCACTATTCCAGTGTTTAGAGCTACTAGCTTGATCTAGGTACCTGTTTCTATATAGAATGTGGAGACAATGTCTTCCCTGTTAAGGAATTCACAGCTAGATATATTTACTTGGTCTAATAAAAGATATCACATTTACCCAAAGAATATGGCTAGCTAGACATAGGCACTCTTCCCCAGGGTGCAACGTTAAAGGAAAAATGTGTACGGAAGTAACAGGCTGTAAAACAAGAATTTGACCATACATCAAGTATTGGCTGGGGAGGCTGGTTGACAGCCCAGTGACCTTATCTGGTAATAAATGCCCTATTTCCAACTTCGAAAGAGGTCTCAATCCTCCTTGATAATTTGCCTTATACTAGGTAACATTTTTCCTGAGAAAAAAAATGAATTGAAAGGTGCACTCTTTTCAGCAATACTGAAATGAGTTCCCTACAGAGGAGGGTGAGAGCAGAGAACTTCAACACATGTGCACGTGATTTCCAGAAAAATTCTAATGCCGACAAAGGCAGGAATGATCTGATAAAGAAGTGATGTGACCTTCTTTTTCCTCCAAATGTCACATTCCCTGTTCACACACATAGCTACCTCCTTGACCATGTGCATATTGTGGCACATACACCAGCCTCCACATAAATGGAGACTTTTGCACCTCCACTGTGTGGACAGAGGTACCCTGAAGCATACACATGCCTTCCTAATTCCCACTACAGAGCACTGACACCAATCAAACCCTTTCCAACTTTTCAGTAGAAAAGCCAATCATTAGAAGGTCTCCCAAATATAAAAGCATCCTTGTTTGATTAATTCAGGTGTCCAGAGGTGTGAGCATCGATAAAATTCTTACAGCACAGTGCAGGTTGCTCTTCGGGGCCAGAAAGCCCCTTGGTGCCAGATCCTATCCTAGCTATTAGGTACCTATGCAGATGTAGGCATCTAATTGCAATCCTATTCCATGTTGTGCAAGTCCCTGGAAAACTGTTAAATCAGGTGAAGAGGTCTCTTTTCTTCCTTGTCCTCCTCCTATGCGAGTTAGGCCTGCAGCTTGGGCAACAGCTCGTTACAAAAGTAGATAGATTAATGGATTTGCAGTGACTTGAACAGGATGGGAGAGGACCTGTCCCTAGGGCTCTGGTTCTCCGATGCCCTGCTCCTTATGTGATCACTTGCACCAGTGCAGAGTGGGTTAGTGTGCCAACTCGACAACTCTTTATATCCACTTTACACAGGTGTAGGGTCACCCACATGGCGCACAGCAGCAGAGCGTCTGGCCCCAGATTTAGGAAACCTCCCTTTGGAGCTTCCCTCCTCAATCCCTATCCCAGAAGGCCTCAGGTCAAAGGGGTGCTGCTCTGCTCCAGCTGAGCCACGGCCTCCTTCAGGTCATCCACAACCAGGTCCACATCGCGGTGGGTGGTGTCTCGCCCCACGCTGAGCCGCAGGGCATTCTGGGCCACATCATAAGGGATCCCACAGCTCAGCAGAATAGAAGATGGCCTGGGAAACGCACAAGGAAAGCAGGATTTAACCCTTTGGACACTGAGGAAATATGTCCATCCCTATACATTTCACTCAGCAAACACACATTATCTCAGCATGAGTGACTGACCCATCTCCAACCCTCCTATTGTTCATTCTCCCTATCACTCTGGATGAATAAGACTGGGCCTACTCCAGGTCAGTGAGTGCTGCTTTCTACTCGGCACATGGTGCCAAGGCTGAGGGATGGGAGATGTGTGTTCTTGTCTGGTCTAAAAGCATGCTGATGCCACATGACTCCCAGATCCCAGGACTGAGCCAGTGAATAGCCCCATAACTTACAGTTAAACACAGCTTCCACATGGCATCAAAGAGCACAAAGAGTAAGCGTGCTACTCAAGTGGTACAGAAATGCCAAGCTCTTGCTTACACATTTTGAGGGCTGAACAACACGCTGTCTTCTCATCTCATGGCTAAGCTGGCCATGAGGTAACCTGGGAGGCAGAGAGGCCCTTGGGGAGCAGGTGTATTTCCAGCCTAGGAGTTCTCGTTCTGGGCTGGGAGTGGTGCCCTTGCAGTCACATATGCCTGCTGGCCCCCGCACGCTGTGACGTGGCACGTAACAGCAGGGGAGCGAGCTGCCTTGCAACACCCGATCTGTTGCGCTACACTGCCCTGCCTGCACACAGATATGCTGCTCAAGGTCACCCTCATCCTAATGCTCATTGCACATCTTCCACCAGCTCAAGACTAAGTCAATGGCAACCACTATTTTAAAAGATCCAGCAGGAACCAAGTGATGGAGTGATCACTTATGAGAAGCTGTTTCATAAAGCTTCAACTTCAAGGGATTTGCCCTAGTCATCAGAGATAAGGGACACTACCCAGGGGGGGAGGAGAGAGGGGACGGGAAGGGGGCTATGCAATTGTTAACCAATAAGCTTAAGGATTGCTTCTGCAAGCAGGTGGAGGTCTTTCACAGCAGAAGAGCCTCTGCAAAGCAATTCACTACTGCACAAGTGAACACAAATTCCTTCCTTATTGCTCTTTGATAGGAAATCTCCAATAGCTCCTTCCTTTCTAATGAAAAAATATCCAACATGTAACACTGGCTCCTTCCACTTCAGGAAGGAATGACTGAAGTCCCCTCATCTCCCTCCCTGATGTCCCCTTCCCTCATTTTTCTCTTCTCCTTTAATCTGGCCTCTCTCCCTGGGGCGAAAGCACTCAGTACCACACGGATCACTTACTGGTTGTCACCCTTCTCCGAGTGGCACGCTGCTCCAACACTGGCAAGAAGGGTCTTGCAGCAAGACAGCACCTTATGACCTGGAAGAGAAACATGTACAGGTTAGCATAAAACACCTACAAGGCTCCTAATCAGCACAGGGAACATTCTTCACTCTCCCTCTATGAAAATGACCCACCTACCCCTCAGAAACCCATCTCAGCTCAGCTTCTAAGCAATGAGTTATCAGGCCTAGCATCCTTCACAGAGAGAAAGGGAATCTGGTAATGGCAATGCCTGAGATCCTTCCCCCAGATTAAAGGGTGCCAGCTCTCAGGATTGGGCAGCTTCATGCCTGGCATGGTCAGGCCTTATGCCCCAGGAAGGAAGGAATCTCCCTCAGTCTGATACTAAAGGAGAGAAAGCAGCAGGTGAGAATGGAACAAAATACAGGTGTTAACTACAGCATGAGGCAGGTCTAGCTAACAGAGTTACCTTGCAGCCCTGAGCCCAGGATGGAGAAGTTACAGGTGTTGCAGAGCCGTCTGGAGCCTGAGAATCTGCTGTTAAAGTGGATCTTCTGCTTCCCAAATACAGCCTGCAGGGAGGTAAATGTTAACAGCTCCTTGAATGTCTATGGTTCTCCTCTGACTTGGAACGGGCTGAGCAGGAGGGATGTGCTACAGACACACAAGCCATCAGCACTGCCACTGGGCTGATGCAGTATGAAGTCAGGCTTCAGAGAGATACCCTGGGACAGCATTGGCTGGCTGATGATGCAAACACTGAACTAGCAGGCTGGAAAAGACAGGCATCAGGGGAATTCACCATCATGCCCTTTTGCTTAGGCTAAACTGGTACAAAGGAGCTTCAGAGGTCCTCAGGAAACACCCCAGAGTGTGAGTCCCTCTCAGGCAGTGGCAACCCCTGCTCTGCTACTCTACCCCCACACTCCCTTCTGCAAGAGGCCCTACTGCATGATGGTAAAGTAGCTCACAGGGGGCATTGCAACAGAGCTACAAGTTAGGGGCACAGGGGGCCTAAAGGTAGGGAAAGGGTGAAACCATCCCCAGCAACCCTGATGGAGGAGATAAAAGCCACATAATAGAAAAACATTGTCACAAGTGCCAAGGCAAGGAGGTCAAGGGCAGGAGGGGTAGCGACTTCCTGCTACAAGAGCCAGAGTGGGCCAGTGAGAAGCTAAAATGCCTCAGCAGTACAACCCACTACACTGCCTTGTGCAGCTACCAGAGGTTTATCATGCCCCTCCTTGCTGAATGGGCTGGGCACCACCCTCCTTCCCTCTACCCACCTCTCCCTTCTTGATCATCTTGTATCCCGCTCTGCTGCTTCTCCTCCCTCTGTCAGGGCCCACTGGTATTGAGCCTCAAGAGGCGACAGGCTTCCACTCTCAAACTTTCATCACACTTCCCAGGCTGCAGGGGTTCCTGGGAGACATGCTCTCTATTCCTACCTCTCTCAGCTGCCTGCCATACAGACTACCCAAAGACAGTGACGTAGCAGGGGGAAAAATGTAACAGGAACCAGCTCTGCTTACTTCCAGCCTTGCCTCCAAGTAATCCCGAACTTCCTGCATGTGAGCCTCATAAACCTCACAGGTCTTATTCACCAGCTCGGCAGCCTGTGAGGGGAGAAGAACAGCACAAGTCAGATGCAGCCACTGTCACGCACATCTGGTGATGCTCCAGCAAGGAGAGCAAGAATCCCTCAGTGCACGACATAGTACCTCCCATTTACCAGAAATCACCAAAAGCTGAGCAGAAGGGAACCATTTCCACTGCTTTACAAACTATTGCTAATGCCAACGAGGCTGGCTGGGGTGGGAGGACTTGTGTCTGAGCCAAATTGGAGAATTGGGCCAAAGGAATCTCATGAGATTCAACAAGGACACGTGCAAAGTCCTGCACTTAGGATGGAACAGTCCCATGCACTGGTACAGGCTCGGGGCTGACTGGCTGGACAGTATCTCTGCAGAAAAGGACCTGGGGGTTACAGTAGACAATAAGCTGAATGTGAGCCATCAGTGTGCCCTTATTGTCAAGAAGGCTAACAATATATTGGGCTGCATTGATAGGCGTGTTGCCACTAGGTCCAGGAAAGTGGTTATTCCCCTCTATTCAGCAGTGATGAGACCACATCTGAAATACTGTGTTCAGTTTTGGGCCCTCCACTACAGAAAGGATGTGGACAAATTGGAGAGAGGTCAGCAGAGGGTGACAAAAATGGTGAGGTGGCTGGGGGATGTGACTTCTGAGGAAAGACTGAGGGAACTGGGCTTATTTACTCTAGAGGAGACTGAGAGGGGACTTAATAGCAACCTTCAACTACCTGAAGTAGGCTTTGAAAGACGATGGAGCTGCACTGTTCTCAGTGATGGCAGATGACAGAACAAGGAGCAATGGTCTTAAGTTGCAGCAAGGGAAGTTTAGGTTAGATATTAGGAAGAATTTTCTTACTAGGAGGGTAGTAAAACACTGGAACAGAGAAGTGGTAGAATCTCTATCCTTGGAGGTGTTTAAGACCCAGGTAGATAAAGCTTTGGCTGGGATGATCTAGTTGGGGACAGTCCTGCTTTGAGCAGGGGGTTGGACTAGATGACCTCTTGAGGTCCCTTCCAACCCTAACTTTCTATAATTCTATGAACTCTTCCTCCATCTCCTAATTCCACCCAGAAAACTGCTTTTAGGTTGGAGCTAAATAAGTATGAACCAGATTATATGATCTCAGGACTGCAGGGGACTGGATCTGAAGACCTCACATTCTGCTGAGATGGGACTTGCCACCTTGGGGGATGCTGGTCTCACCCCTGAGGCCCAATTCCCTGGTGGGAAAAATGAAACCCATCTGCACTTGGTCCTCCCAACACTCATCTTCCCCTGAAAATTTCAAGACACCAGCCAATGTGTTTGTGTGGCAAAGAGCCAGACTTCCATGGGACAGCTGTGCTCAGTGCACTGAGCACATTTGAAAAACCCAGCCTTGAATCTAATGCAGAGCACTTTAGAAAATCCTGGCCTGAATTTGTTATGTTACAAGGTACAACCTTCAGGGTCCTGGCAAGTTGCTAACCCAGTACTCAGCGCTACACTGTTACGCGCCTGCTCTGAAAAACTCCTCTAGAATATCACACACTGGCTGGACTCCCAGCCTCCTTTACACTATCCTGCTCACTAGCTCGATACAGAAACCCATGGTCCTTATAGGTCCAACTTTGCCCCACACAGCTCAATACACCAGAGCTCAGTGGGGGCAGATGACAGAACAAGGAACAATGGTCTCGAGTTCAGCAAAGAAAGTTTAGGTTAGATATTAGGAAAAACTCTCTTATGTGGCAGGTAGTAAGATACCAGAACAGGCTACCCAGAGAAGTTGTGGAATCTCCATCCTTGGAGGATTTTAAGACCCAGCTAGACAAAGCCTTGGCTGGGATGATCTAGTTGGGGATGGTCCTGCTTTGAGCAGGGAGTTGGACTAGATGACCTCCTGAGGTCCCTTCCAATCCTAATTTTCTATGTTTCTATTAAATAAGAGTGTGGGTTTGGCCTCTTTGTTGAGAATCACTTCAAGCTGAAACAGATGTATGATGTGCTATTGTTCCACAACCAAATGGGAAAGCTTTGTGGCACAGTTTTCCCCCAAACCCACTACATAAGTATAGGGAAAACAAGAGAGATCAGTCATACAGGGGAGAATGAGGGGAAGGGAAAGGGAAAGGGCAGAGCACAGGATGCTTCTACAGGCCATTTTCAAAAACAAGGACTAATGCTGCCAGGAATCCTCATCCGCCACAGATCTAAAGACATGTTTCATCGGATGGAGAAAGGAAGCCAGAAGCTTTGACTTTTCACAATGGTGCAGAGATTTAGCAGCATTCTTCCCATTACAGTTGGGAAAGTTATAAAGACAATTCAGCAAGGAACACTATGAAAATTGCATTGAGCCTTCAGTCTTGTTTTGCTAAAAGCTGCTTGGCTTTGCTTTTCCTCAGTGGGTTTTTTTAAACAAATCTCAGAACAGAACAAGAGAGTTAACATATTTGCTCTATCAGACGCCATCACTGTTAACTTGCATGCTTCTGTTTTCACCCTCCTGTACTTCTGAGCTCACCTTGCCAAGGCCTGCAATCATTGGGGTGTTCTCTGTACTGAAAAAGAAATGTTGTACTGTAATTATTTTCTTCTTCTTGCAGAAACTAGTGGTGTTGAATGCCCACATTTTAAATGATAGAGGCCTCGTCCACATGCACAAATGTGCCCACAATGGTGTGGCAAAAATGTGTGGAGGGCAGCACTGCAGGTCAAACTGTACGTACAAACGGACCGCTAGGTGCAAGGGAGTTGGGGGTCAGCTCAAACTCCTACCAAAAGTCCTGAAGACAGGATACAAGAGAACCTCTGAATGGCCTTCCCTCGCCAACCCAGGGAAGTGTGATAGCAGCATTCTCCCCTGCCTCCCCCCTTTCCAAGAAACCAAACTGTATTTTGGACAGCTTTCAAAGGACTGAGGGTGGGTGTGATGCCTGGCCACAGATCTAAAGACATGTTTCATCGGATGGAGAAAGGAAGCCAGAAGCTTTGACTTTTCACAATATTAACTTCCTAACCCACTAGGTGCAGCACTGCCCCTACTGGAAGGGGTCTGTACAGCTGTGCTGAGCACCAAGCCCCATGCAGCTAACAAGTGATAGTCTCTCTCAGTTCCACCCAGCATGGGATCACACGGACTTGCAGTTAGCATTTACAGGGCAAGATGCATCCTCAAAGCAACTAAAAAGAGGACATTTCTTCTCTAAACATTTCACAGCTCTTCATCCCAAATCAGATGGCAGTATATGTTCCACTGGCCCTTACAGAACCTACTGAATAGCCCGGCCTGCCTCTCCCCACAGCTCCTGACCTCAGCACCTCCGCTGACCCGTGCACCCGCCTTACCCAGGTCGGAAGTTCCGCTCCTGTCCTCCTCCGAACAGCATGGGGTGCAGAGGGGTAGCGACTCCAGGCCCTCGCACATATAGCGCTCCGATCCGGGGAGCATAAAACTGCAACGACAGGCAGTATCGTGTCCTCCACCTCTGCATTCACTCAATTGCACAATGCAAAGCTAGGGCAGGCTTGCTGCCTGTTGCTGACATTGTAACAAACTCCTGGTATCAGCATATTGGCAAAAAAGCTGGAACCACTTGAGCTGAGGGAATCTTACAGCCTTGCTATCTCCTTTGTAACTTACTTGCTCTCCAGTTGCTAACTTAATTGCAGCAGGTTGTTTTGTAACTAACTGTGCCAGGTTAAACAGCCAGGAAGAGTGAAGGGAAAGCTGCTGTTGTACGGTTCTGTTAGGACTGAGGAGCCTTAAAAACAGCTTTACCTTCAAAGCTTTTAATAGCATCCCTGAAAATGGACTACTAGGAGCCATGAAATTTAAGGGAGCCACTCAGTTCTGGGGCTGCTGAGGCTGCAGCACTGACAGAGTTGTATACTCGATGAGCTGTGCTGGGTAAGCATGAAGTCTGGGTAAGTGCATGGCCCTTTTCCAATTCTAGGGCCATGACCTTAACCAGAGTACTCTGTAATATTAACTGGAAACTCAGTGAGGTGCCTCTTGGAAGTTCCCTCCCTGCTTCACCTTGACCCTGTCAGAGCATGTGCCTGGAGTCCATCAGCTCTGAGCCTGACCCTTCTCACTTTCACATTCCCAATAAATGAGTCTGTGCTATTGCCAGGGTTCTTGTCAATAAATTTAACCACTAGAGGGGCATGGAAAATATTCAAGGCAACAGCTAAGCCATGACCTTCTGGGTACATTTCCCTGAGCACCACACAGAAGTTGCAGTGTAGAGGGCAACTCCCCCCTCCACCTCCTCATTAGCTGACCTCCATCTCCTGAGATCCCATACACTCTGCTGTCAGAGTGGACAGCTGCCTCATGGCAGCTCCTTGTAAATCAGTTTCCATGACCTCCATGACTGGTGTGACTAGCTATGACCATAACCATGTACAACACTGTCTCTATGTAGCACGTTTCACATTTAAACCATTACTGTCTCTGTCCACTTAGTCCGTAAATCAGTCCTTTTTGTATTACCTCAGCAAATTCCCACTTATTGATGATAGTTGTTCTTTGCAAACATTGCCTCACTAGGACAAAAGCCTGTTCTCGGATCTTCATCACATTTGTGACCTAGGAACCATCCTGCTCCCATAACAGCCTTGCAAAGCACAGTGCTGCGTAACTGGCTGCCTATTCCAAGCCATGATCCTGCATAATTGTAGCTGCCTGTGCATAATACTGTACATAAACGCTGCCTGTGCATAACACTGTACATAAACACTAAGGCTGTGCGAAGCTTCAGTAGCCGATTCACTTCAGAGGAGATTCGGTCCGATTTAGCGGCCAGGTCTTTGAATCGAAATCGAATCAGAAGATCCAATAATCTCTCTGAATCGAATAGGAAGCCTCCAAATCGATTCAGAGAGATTTGGAGCTTTGGCCACAGACTGTACAGGCAGGCGCTAGGCAGTGCTGGCAGAAGCAGCCAGACGAACCCCGGCTTGAGCCAGCTGCCCCAGGAGAACCCGAGGCTCATCCAGCTGCTCCCCTGCTGGGGTGAGGCAGGCAGTGCTGACAGCCCTGGGAGAAGCCACGGGGACTGCGGGGAATGATCGGGGAACTGCGGGGAATGGTTGGGAGCTGGGAGATGGAACCGGGAGCCGGGGGAATGAACAGGGGCTTCCCCCGAGCTCCTGGTTCAATTCCCCAGCTCCCAATCATTCCCCAGGTACCCGATCATTCCCCCCCAGCCCCCACGGCTTCTGGCTCAAGCTGTGGCTCATCCGGCTGCTCCCCTGTCTGCCCCTCCACAAAGGCAAGGAAGGCAGTACTGGCAGCCCCGGGAGAAGCCGCAGGGGCTGGGGGGAATGATCAGGGACCGGGGGGAATGACTGGGAGCTGGGGGGTCAAACAGGGAGCTAGGAGAATGAACAGGGGCTTCCCCCCAGCTCCCAGGTCGATTCCCCAGCTGATTGTTCCCTCCAGCCCCAGCAGCTTTTCCCGAGGCTGCCGGGTCAAGCTGGGGCTCGGCTGGCTGCTCCCCCAGCTGCTCCCAGTGGTACTGCCTGCCTGTGTAGACTATGGTTGAATAAGATTCGACACAGAATATCTTCAGATTCAGCCGAATCAAATCGGAACAGCAATTCGAATCACCAAATCGAACCACTGTTCCTCTGAATCTGAAGCAAATACTTTCTATTTCACACAGGCCTGTACAGGCCTAATAAACACTTACAAAAAAAGCTTGCTCAGCACAGGTTTCCCTCACTTGATGAGGGTCCTGCATGAGCAAATTTGCTCTTATGCGATGACCCTTTTTATACCAAAAATTCGTTATATGCAAGGTAAATTCACTCTTATGCGATCAGTGCAGGGGAAGTCCAGTCAGCAGCTTTGTGCGTTGCATTGTGGGGGTGACACACACCAAAATGTAGTCTCCTGTGTGGATCTGTGCTCCTTGCTCGTTGTCTGCAGCACATGTTCCTGTAGTTGTATCACTATCCCCATTATGATAGTGCCCTGTGCTTGTGTGTAGTGTCTGCTGTTGGCAAGTACCAAAATTGTCTGGTAAAAGTGGTAGAAATGGGTCAGTCAAAGTCTTGGAACGTATCCCTATTTGTTACATTGTAAAGTGGGCTCCCGTTATGTGAATTTGGATTATGTGCCATTTTCCAGGAATGCATGTACAGCATAAAGCAAGGGAAACCTGTACAATAAAACACTGTCTTCAAAGCGCCATCTAGTGGGAAACTTTAGTGGTGGAATAAAAATAATGTATGAAATCCTTCACAAGTGAAAGTGCAATATTGGTGGGTCAGTCTAATTTCTCCTCCACCATGGCACAGCGAGAGATGAATGACTCAGCAATGCACATGAGGGAGAAGGAGATTTCAAAAGGCAAAAAAATGGACCCAAGAGAAGCCTGAGGTAAAACTTTTTCCTTTCAGTCCCCCATACATATACATCAATCCAAATTCCTAGTAACCCCCTTGGCTGAGTGGGGTTTGGGGGTGAGAAATGGAGTCAGGCAAGGGAAAACTGGCACTTGGATTCCCTGACACAAATATTGGATGGGGAAATATATTCTAGCCCTGAAGCAGCTAGCTACTGGTGGCTTCACTGAAGTGCAGTTGGTGTCCTCCGGATTTAAATTAATTGTCAAGATGGGGTTTTTTCTCCTTGTCCTTTTTTTTGTAAAATATTAGGAAGCAGTTGTTTGGGTTTTTTTAAATGAAAAGAAGCTCTGGCCTGACTGAAGGCAAAGAATAAAAAGCCTCTCCTGAACAGGTGCTGCAATCTGAAAGGGAAAGTGCTCACAATGAAAGGCTATTTAAATGCAGGGGCAGCTCCAGTGTCCCAGGGAGAAAGGCATCCAGAAGGAAGGCAGGTATACCTTGTGTCCCACAACAGTGAGGTAATCCACACCCAGATCCTCCACATCCACTCGTCCCTTCCCTATCATCTGTGCTGCATCTGTGTGCACCAGGATCTTGGGCATCCCCGATGCTGTTCTCTTCTGATTCAAGATCCGAATCCGCTGACAGAGCTCTGGGATGGGCTGGGAGAAGAAAACATTATCCCTAAGCAACATGGTCTCAAGCTCTGCACAGAAGATAACACATCTCCTCCCATGTGCAACCACAAAGCCCCCTACCCTTCACTATGCCACAATATCACCAAGGCAGATTCAGCACTTACAGAGTGAAGTGACAGTATGAAAGTATCTAACAGACATGAAGCAATTTAATGGCATTCAGCAGCTAATAAACAAGTAGACATAGTCAGCAGTGAGATCATCTCCAAGGGCTGCAGGTAACAGTTTGAAAACTGCTGCTCTGTTAACAGTGGAGGGAAAAAGGAGTAGAAAAAAAATGCAAAGAGGGAGAAAACTGGAGGAATTAAAAGGAAAAGAGAGGGGAGAAAAGAAACATGGGAAGGACCGGACAGAAGCCCCTCAGAAGTACAGAAGATGTGAACACCGCCATGAACCCACTTCCCCCCAGCCCAAGGCATAGAAAACCCCAAGGACAAACTCACCATGATTACCCCAGTCTCGTTATTAGCTAGCATGATGGAAACCAGGCAAGTGGTTGGACGGACTGCCCCAATGATATCGTCAACTTCTGCCTGACCAGTCACCTTGGACACAGGGACAAAGGTGGCTTCTGCAAGCCAAGACACAAGGAATTGGATTCATCATGGAAGTTGGCACTATGCAGCAGACAAGACAGGCAGATGGTGGGGTAAAGCTGTGCCGTGCAAAGCCTGTGGAAGGTGGATGAAATGGAAGACACTAGCAGAGGACAATGCGCTCATCTTCCAAGGAATGGGCTGGCCCCTAGAATACTCTAAGACTGAAATGTCACTGCAGGGGTGTCTGTCTTCCTAGCCATCTGGGTGATACAACATACAGGATAAACAGAAAAAGGATGTGCTGGGAGACAGGGCCAGAGTAAACAGATGGAGATAAAACCCACGGGGCTTGACACTAAAACTGACTAGAGCATTACCTTTACTTCCCAGGGAAGGCATGGGTTGGGGAAGCTGCAGGGCAGAAGGGGAAGAGAGTGCATAGCTCAGTTCACATAGGGCTGGGAAAAACATAGGAAAACACTTTGGACTTCTCCAGTGTAGTGTAAAGAAGGGATAATACCCCTGGTAGTACCATCAGCAACTGAAACATTTTGCACCCACTGGTTAAACTGCACTTATGCTGCCACACACTTGGCAGCTGCTCCCTGTAAACATCCACAGCCTACATCATTGTGCTCCTTCAAACTCTCTTTTGCTGTGTGTCAACAGTGAGGATGCAGAGGTTCTGGGTCCACTGCCTGACCAATGTCATCTCCTCATACCCTTGTGCATATCCATCTCTGGAGCCATATGTTGCCCCTGAATTATGCCCTGACTGGAAGCACTTTGGGGCAAGGACTGCCTTTGTTTTATGTTATACAGAACCTAGCACAAGGGGCTCCTGGACCACAACTGTGGTCCTTAGGTGCTCTAGTAATAGGAAAAGCTAGTAAATAATAAAATACTGAATCTATATCTTCTTACAAAGCAGCTGGAATGAAAAGACTGCCTGAGACTGCTCTGATCAGCACAGTGTGCAAAAGCTTAAATTCTGTGCAATGGCAAAGCTGTGTGAAAGAAAAAACATGACACTTGGTTATTTGTTACTTTGACACAAACTCTGCTGCCAAAGAACCCTCAGAAGGAACAGGGCTGGTGAGTATGCAGCTCCCTGGCAGCCACTCCCATGCACTCACCTGCCATGTTCTCTCTCACCAGGTGTTCCAGAGGCAAGCGCACCGAGTCATGTTCCACGCTTGATGTAACAAAATGGGGAGTGGCTCCTTGCGGCTTACTGTGTTTCTCCCCAGGTCCATTTTCCCCCAGCACCCAGCTCTCTCTAAAACACCTCAGTGCAGTGTGGATAATGAGATTATTGGCCTACAGAGAGGTAAGGGGGAAAACATCAGAGCAATAACTACTCAAAAGAAATCCCTTTCTTGCCCAGTGGCTTGCTTTTGCCACTTTTTTAAATTCAGGGAGAAGTTAAAATACAGTCTACAAAACTGCAATGTTTAGTGTAGATGCAGAAATTTTTCAGAATAAAGCAAACTCCTTAAGTCTGCAAGAGCAGTCATTTATGCTACCACATAAATGGTTTTCCACTCCAGACACTCATTTCAAAACACTTATATTTACCAATTTTCATGCTAAAAAAGAGCATATGGTTTTCTTTGGCAGCTGCATTTTCACGCCAATCTGGGATTTATCATGTATAGAGGAAAAAGGCGGCTGCACTGTGGCTTTCAAATACAAAGACTGAGGAGAAAGTGGTTCATTTTTTATTGATTCACCAATTATCCTCTCAAATGTAACAGTATAATCACTCTTACTGCGACCAGTAGGTGCAGAGGGATTCATGCTCTCACCTCTGTCCCCCCTGAGGTAAAAATTATGTCTTCAGGCTGCCCTCCTACCATCCTGGCCAGGCTCTCCCGGGCCCTGCTGATGGTCTCCTTGGCCTTTCTACCTGGAAAGCCAAGATACACATGTTATGATGTTGGTTTGGTATGTTTACAGTGGAAAAATAATGAAAAGGAAGAATCACTGCAAGATTATCCCCATACCAGGGATTCACCTCAGAGAGATATTATGTATTTCCCCCTACACTTGGTTTAATGTACGAGATAGATTCTCTTCTATATTTATTTCAATTTCTCTGCACGAGATTAAAAGCTCAATGGCAGCCAATGCAGTGCTTACATGACAGTCTCTGTGGGAATGGCATTAGCAAACAAACAGTATTTCATTATGGATGGTGCAAGCCTTGACCAGACATAGACACAGACAATTCACAGCATTTATACTGCAAGCAGCAGTAAGAAAGAGCACAGCTCAGGCAGTACATTTCCCTCTACAGAATATTCCCGTTCATGCACACACCACTTTAAGTGGGCATGGGGTTCTTCCCTCAAAAACCAGTGAGGTTCAGCTGAAAGTCAACTGGAAAGATAAACTCAAAATAAAACACAGCTCCAAGACAATCTCTGGGCAGGCAGAAACAGAAAGAAAAGAGACCAAGGAGGAAAGCAGATGGCCTTGCTCCCTTGCTGCCGAGGGGGTTTTTTTGGTTCTTTTTCTGCAAGCTAACTTTTGGAGATTCTCCTAAGCCTCATTTTTTTCCTTTCTAAGAGATGTTCTAGCAGCCTCTAAACTGAAACACTATGGATTGCTTCTGAGGAGAGTCTGTAACTCTGCTCTACTTTCAACCTGACAAAGCAAACAAGCCTTTCCTTTTTCTTTAGAAGTTTATTTATATTGCTCTCCCTGGGTAATCAGCCCTGTAGTTAGGAGCCAAAATCTGTAAGAGTGGAGGCTGAAAGTCAAGCTCTTATGTTTATATTAAATCAACTAAATAAATGCAATGACTCTTCAAACTCTTCAGCTGTAATGAGTCCCGCTGGGAGCTTCCTACTTTGTCAATGTACGAGAGCTAGAGCATTAATTTTGATGCCTAAAGAGACGCCTTAGGTGGTGATGCCAGTGGTCACCAACCAGTTGGTCCTGATCAACTGGTCAATTGGGGAGCCCCTGACAGTCGATCTCAGTTGACGGTGGGAGAGGGGGGAGCTAGCCCCCCCAGACTGAGATTGACTGTCAGGGGCTCTGCGATCGGGAGCAGTGGGATGCACATGGGGAGCGGCTGGGACGCAGTTCGGAAGCACCGAGACGCATGAGCAATGTGGCTGGGCTGAGCCATCTTCTCTGCTGCCAGGGCCAAGCCGGGTGAGTGCGATGATCCCCCTTCATGCCCCCTGCCACCAGGTGAGTGGGTCCTGGCCATGCTGGGCCGGAGCCTGGACGGTTCGTACAGATGCGTGGTGGGGCTCCAGCTGGTGCATGCACCCCGGTGGAGGCCTGGGGGGCATGTGCCCCCTCGATCTGTGCACAGTGCAACGCAGCTGCCACTGCGTGCTGCAATTTGCACCCCAAGCCTTGCTGTAGCTCGGGGCTCAGAACACAAAGCCCGGGGCGCAAAACCCAGTGTGCAGTGGCAGCCACCTCGCCCCCATGCACAGAGCAGAGGGGCACATGCCCCCCAGGCTTCCACCAGGGTGTGTGCAGTGACGGGAGCCCCCCCGCACACCTGGATGAGCAGCAAGGGCTCAGACCCTCCCCCGGCCTGGCCCAGCCGGCCAGGGCCCCACCTCATCCTTGCCTGTGCCCCACTCCATCCCTGATCACCTGGCCTCGATCTGTGCCCCCCAAACTAACCTGATGGGGGAAGGGGGGGCAGGGCAGGGCAGGGCAGGGCAGGCAGCAGGGTAGGAAGCACAGTAGATCCTGCGTTGCCCTTTACTTCAAAAAGTGATCTTCACCTTAAAAAGGTTGGAGACCACTGCTCTAGGAGACTATTTCCCCACAGCCAGTTCAGAAAATACTGACCATTTTTTTAGATGTGCCTCTGTAGTTTTTGAGTACAAAGTGGGTTAAAAGACAGGGCTGAAGCTTTTGAAAGAGTGCCCAGCCTTTGTTATTAACCAGCCATTATCCGTTGGTGCTGTGTTCACACCAAGAGGCCTTATTAGGTTTGGCATCATACTGACATACAATGACAAGGCAGTTCTTACTGAACAGCTTATCCTCATGTTTGCTGGCAAATAACTAAGGAGTGGCAGCACAAATCAGCTTTACATGTGGCATGGTTGTAACCCGAGATAACACATGCTGCTCTCCAGCTCTGTTCATAAATCTCACTCCTTTATAGACAGCTTTATAGAAAGAGGAAGGTCTGCCTGTGCTCCAACATGATCCTACTCCTCTGATACCCCCTGGCCTCACAGGAACAATAAGCTTTAACCCTACAAACCCTAGCCCCTGAGCCGTTCCAAGACGGTTTCCAGCTCATAAAATGAGCTATGCATATCAAGCAGGAGACTGCCTGTGAGTCCAAATCTGTCTCCTTTGCCTGAGGACCCTGCCCTTTGTTCTTCCCAAGAGCTGCTCCTACCTGCTTTGTAAGTGCTGCTGGGATTACCCCAGGCCTCCTGCATGGCCTCTGTAACAGTCTGGATCACCTCCAAGGCCAGTGGGGTAGTTGCATTGTAGTCCATGTAAACCTTCCTGCAGGACACAGGAGCAGACAGGGTTAAAACAGAAGAGAAGGAAAAGCCTACTATCAGCAGTATAAATCAGTGCTTCTAATAGCTCCATCAGTGACCACAGTGCAGTACACTTTTAACTAGGTTTTACCTAGTTAAAGGAGTCATTACCAACCTACCCTGGCACTGGAATAGATTGATCAATCAATCCTCTCTGGCAACATTGCTGGAAGCACAGCCCCAATAACCTGCTCTGTTAAATATGATCACAATCAGAGACTTACAACAAGCTTTTGAAATTGAATCTTAATTACACTGTATATGCATTTAGGGCCTAAGAACCATTACAGGTAATATGAGCTGCAAGTACAAACCCTCCAGCAACTCAAAGGGATTCCAACCCTCTAAATTTAATTTTAAATGCTCTCTGTCTTCAAACAAATTGGGAAAAAACATCTGACTCACCTTTTCACAGAGTTATTCTCTTCCTCATAACACTCTGTCTTCCTAGGGATCTTCCTCCCATCTTTTGCTGGTATCACTTTTCTTACTTTGTCCTTCTCCATTCTGCAGAAATGTTTGTACAAGATCAGCGAGAATGGCAAAAAGGTCAACCTTGAAATCAGCAACCAAACAGCACAAGATAACTCTGACTCAGATCTGCCATAGACGATACTGCACTGGTCTCACTTCAGGAATCAGGCCTTCTCTCTCACACCCATGCACTGGCTAGTCTCCTGACCACATTATGATCTTTGAATGTTTGGCTGTTGTGTCTAAGCCAAGTCTGCACAATAAGGGACACACACAACTTCCAACTCACAGAAGGGGTCCTGCTGCTCACAGCTTTGTACCAAGATCAAGGATAAAACGCCAATCCTATGCATTAACACAAATATTACTTAGTAAAGTTACTGTCACATTCAGCATCACTTGTTAGATATAAGTGACAGCAGTAGCCCTACAAGTGCCTGCTTTTGTTGCCTTTCATTGATTGAACTATTTGCATGCGATTTCCTGATTTAAGCAGACAGTTGAACTAACTGATAAAAATGAAGCATTCAGCTGCACAGCTCAGCTTTAGAGTCTGGCTCTCAGTCTTGTTAGGCTTAAGGATCAACACAACACGAAGTGACCAAGACATTCACACTTGTCAGAGCTACTAGTTCAGGCTGTCTGCAGGCTCAGAAAGACAACGCTGTATCATTTTCTTACATTTCATCTGGTTCTTCCCTTTGGTAAATTTTGCTTCTAGCTACCTACGAAGGGGAGAAACTTTCATTTAAACGGCTCCATGCTGCAGAATCAAAGCCTGTCAAAAAATCAGATATAAACACTTCAAGCAGGCAAGCCTCAATAAAATATCCGGGAACAAGCGCTCGTTCGTTTCATAATCAGAGAATAGCCTGACCCGCCCCCCAGCACTCTACAGCAGGGGCTCCTAAACTGCAGTACAGGCACCCCTGGGGAGTACATGGGACAAACTGTGTAATAGTGGATTTAATTTTCATTATAACCATAGCTGGCGTTTAGGGGATTAAAAGATAAGCCGGAGAGGTACGCGGGGAAGGGGACGTGCAATAAGGCCGGGTTTGGGAACCTGCGCTCTAGAGCCACCCGGGCTATTCCAAAGGGGAAGGGCACCACGAAGACAGGAAGCTATTAAAGCAGAAGCGAGGGGGCCACAAGGGGTCCGTGACAGGTGCCAAACCTGCCAGCTGTGGGCAGAGAGCGAGCGCGGGGCTGGCGTTTCCAGCAGTGCGCAGTGGGGGTGGGACTCACGGGTCCCCGCGCACACGCCGCGGCCCTGCCCCTCGCACTGGGCGCAGACCGCGCGGCCACAGCCCCCTGCCCCCCCACAGACAC